TGAGATGGTATCTCAAAGTGGTTTTGATTTGCATTTCCTGAATGCTGAGTAATGCTGAGCATTTTTTCATGTGTCTGTTGGCCATTTGTATATCTTCCTTTGAAAAATGCCTATTCAGCTCCTTTCACATTTTTTAATTGGGTTATTTTTTTGCTACAAAGTTGTCTGAGTTCCTTGTACATTCTGGATATTAATCTTTTGTCAGATGTATATTTTGCAAATATTTTCTCCCACTCTGTTGAATGTCTTTTCACTCTGTTAACTGTTTCTTTTGCTGTGCAGAAGATTTTTAGCTTGATATAATCCCATTTGTTTATTTTTCCTTTGCTTGCCTGTGCTTTTGGTGTCGTATTCATGAAGTCTGTACCCAATCCTACTTCCTGGAGTGTTTCCCCTATGTTTTCTTTAAGGAGTTTTATTGTCTCAGGATGTATATTTAACTCTTTAATCCATTTTGAGTTGATTTTGGTATATGGTGAGAGGTACAGGTCTAGTTTCATTCTCCTGCATATGAATATCCAGTTTTCCCAGCACCATTTGCTGAAGAGGCAGTCTCTTCCCCAGCATGTAGACTTGGTGCCTTTGTCAAACATCAAATGGTTGTAGGTATATGGGTTGATTTCTAGATTCTGTATTCTTTTCCATTGATGTGTGTGTCTGTTTTTATGCCAATAACATGTTGTTTTGGTTATTATAGTTTTATAGTATAGTTTAAAGTCAGGTAGTGTTATGCCTCCAGCTTTATTTTTTTACTCAGAATTGCTTTTGCTATTCATGGGCTTTTGTTATTCCATATAAATGTTAGGATAGCTTTTTCCATTTCTGAGAAAAATGTCATTGGAATTTTGATGGGGATTGCATTGAATCTTAGATCACTTTGGGTAGAATGGATATTTTCACAATGTTAATTCTTCCAATCCAAGAGCATGGGATATCTTTCCATTATCTTGTGTCCTCTTTAATTTCTCTCAACAGTGCTTTGTAGTTTTCAACGTAGAGATTTTTCACATCCTTGGTTAACTTTATTCCTAAGTATTTTATTTTTTTGGAGGCTATTGTAAAAGGGCTAGCTAGCTTCCTTGATTTGCTTTATAAATCCGACTACTCCAACATTGGGAGCATATGTATTTATGATTGTTATGTCTTCTTGATGGATAGTTCCTTTTATTACTATATAGTGGCCTTATTTATCTCTTTTTATGGTTTTTGGTTTAAAGTCTATGTTATCTGATATAAGATTAGCTACTCCAGCTTGTTTTTCATTTCTACTTGCATGGTATATCTTTTTCCATCCTTTCACTGTTAGTCTACATGTGTCTTTACAGGTGAGGTGAGTCTTTTGAAGGCAGCATATTGTTAGGTCCACTTTTTTAATCCAGTCAGTCAGTCTGTGTCTTTTGAGTGGGAAATTTAATCTTTTTACATTAAGAGTTGTTATTGAAAAGTGCTGATTTACTCCTAGCATTTTATTAATTTTTGTTTGGATGTCTTAAGTATCTTTTGTTCCTTTCTTTCTTATCTACTGTTTGTCTTCTGTGTTTGTTGGTTTCTTGGGGTGGTAGATACACTTTTTTCCTCTTTATTGTTAGCATTTTTATTTCACTAGTGGGTTTTGCTCTTTCTTGAGTATTTATGGCAGTGATGGTTGTTTTCCAGGTACCAACCCAGTACTCCCTTGAAAATGTCTTGTAAGGCTGGTTGTGTGGTAGTGAACTCCTGCAGTTTTTGTTTGTCTGAGAAATGTACTATTTGTCCTTCAATTTGGAAGGATAGCCTTGCTGGGTAAAGTATTCTTGGCTGGCAATTTTTGTCTTTCAGTATTTTGAATATATCATCCCATTCTTTTCTGGCTTTTAGGGTTTCCGATGAAAAGTCTGATGTTAGTCTGATTGTGGCTCCCTTATAGGTGACTTGATGCTTCTCTCTTGCAGCTTTTAAGATTCTCTCTTTGTCTTTGAGTTTCACCAGTTTGACTATAAAATGACTTGGAGAGGACCTTTTGGGGTCAAATATGTTTGCGGATCTTTGACCCACCTGAATCTGAAGATCTGTGTCTTTTCCTATACCTGGGAAGCTTTCTGCTATTATTTTGTTGAATATGTTTTCAACGTCATTTCCTTTTTTCCTCCCCTTCTGGAATACCCACAATTCGGATATTTGAGGGCTTAAGGTTGTCTCTTATCTCTCTCTCAATCAACAAAGAAGTGGTAGAGACATCTCCACTAAGATCAGGAACAAAGCAAGTGTATTAGTCCATTTTTGTTGCTTTTAATAAAATACTTGAAACTGGGTAATTTATACAGAAAACTGAAATTTATTGCTTACAGTTTCTGAGGCTGGGAAGTCCAAAGTCCATCTGGTGGTGGCAACAGTGACCCAGGGGTCTCACATTGCAAGATAGTGGAAGCAGAGAGAGACAGACTCTCCTCTTCTTTTAAAGCCTTCAGAACCACACCCCTTACCACCATTTTTAATCCATTCACTGTGGCATGGTCCTACAATCCAATCACCTCTTCAAGGCTCTGCCTTCAAATTACCATAATAAGATTTCTCACCCTCTTAACAGTCACAGTGGGGGCTAAGTTTCTAATACATAAAACTTGAGGGACACAATTCAAGTTTCAATGAGTTTTGGGGGGAAAGAATTCAATCCACTACAGCAAGGATACCTGCAATCTCTGATACTACTCAATACTGTCGGGAAGGTTCTTGCAAGTGCAATTAGAGAAAAACCAATTAAAAGCATAAGAACTGCTAAAAAAGTAAAATTATCCCTATTTGTAGATGATATGATGGTATACCTGGGAAACTCTAGATAATTCATAATAAAATGAACTCAAACAACAAAAGAATTAAGTAAGTTAGGTGGATATAAAATTAACCTATAAAAATTGATAGTCTTCATAAACAATAACCAGCTAGAAGACAAAATGAAAGGGAAAAAAACCACATTTATTATTATTATTATTTTTTTCCTTTTTGTCTTTTTTCGTGTCTGGCAACGGATCGCAACCCTCAGTGTCGCGCCCGTACTGGACCGGGACTGGCAACGGGATCGCAACCCTCAGCATCGCACCCGCACCTCACCCAGCCAGTGAGCAGGAACCGGTCTGTATGAGGGATCCGAACCCTCGGCGGGAGTGCCGCCGCGCTCTCAAGCGGCGCACTGTAGCAGTGCGCCACCGGGCCGGCCCAAAAAACCACATTTATGATAGCAGCAAAGATTACATACATAGAAACGAATTCAACAAGAAAAGCGTCACAACTACATGAGGAAAGTTTTAAAACTCTTTCAAAAAAACCTAAAAGGAAACTTCAATAAATGGAAACATACCTCTCTTCTTAGATAGAACAATTCAACAACAGAAGGATGTCAGTTTTCCCTAAATCAGTTTAAAAATTTAAGCAGAGGATTTGGGGAAGATGGTGAAGTAGGAAACACCAGGAAATCTGTCTACCCACCTAGGCAAAAATTGCAATGGAAGAATCTGCCAGATACAACTATTTTGAAAACCTGAAGTCTATTGAAGTCTTGAAATTCCAGAGAAAGACTTGGACTGTAAATGGTGGTTAATTCAGGTAAATTTCAGCTCTTAGCCCAGTAGCAGCTACCCATCTCACACCCCCAGCCTCATGGCAGATAGCTTTGCATACATTCCAGGAACAGCTTGCATACAGCTTGGGAGCCAGGGTGAGCAAAAAACACTCTGTCCTCCAAATATTAGGGATCTGTGCTCTGATCTCAAATGTGCAAAAAGGCAAACCACTATTGTTGTTTCACCTCCCCAACTGTTGCAAGTCCCCCTCCTCCTCTGGCTGAAGTGATTTCCAGGACTTCCAAGAGATTTTTTTTTTTTAATAAGAAAACAAAATGTATTGCTTACAGTTTCAGAGGCTGGGAAGTCTAAAGTCCAGGAAACGCATCTGGTGAGGGTCTTTTTTTGGTGGTTTACAGCAACGCAGGGGTCTCACATGGCAGAAAATGACAATGCAGAGAAAGAGAGAGAGAGAGAGACTCTCACATGTTCTCCTTTTAAATTCCTCAGGACCACACTTCTGACTACCATTAATAATCCATTCACTATAGCATGGTCTTACAATCTAATCACCTCTTCAAGGCCCCACCTTTTAATTACCATAATAGGATTTCCCACTCTCAACAGTTACAGTGGGAATTAAGCTTCTAATATATGGATGTTGGAGGACACAATTCAGTCAACCCATAGCATTCCAACCTTGTCCCCCAGAGTTCATGTCCTTCGCATAGGTAAATACATTCATTCCACCCCAAAGTCTTAACTTGTTTCAACTCAAAAGTCCAAGGCTCAAAAGTCCCATCTATGAAATCAAAACAAGTTATCTACTGCCAAGATACAATGGTGGGACAAGCATAAGGCATATATTCCCATTCAAAAAGGGAGAAATAGACAAAAAGAAAGGGGTAACAGGTCCTCAACAAATCCAAAACCCTGCCAGGCAGGCATTAAATCTCACAGCTGGTGAATCATGTACTTTGACTCCATGTTTGATGTGCTCTGCACACTGGTGTGGGGGTTGGGTCCCCAAGTCCTCTGGCAGCTCTGCTCCTATGGCTTTCCTGGTGTGAAGTGATGCTTTAGCTCTCACAGGCTGGTGTTGCACTCTGATAGCTCTACAAGTCTGGGGTCTCCATGGCAGTCCTGCTCTTCACTTGGAATGGCATTTTGGGGGTTTTTCTGCTGCAACTCTGACCCCACATTTCTGCTCAGCATTGTTCTAGCAAAGTCTCTATGCAGTGAACCTGTCTCTGTTGACATCAGCAACAGTAAAGGGTGGGGACAGAACTGAAAAGGAGCAGAGTTATTGTATGTCATTGAAGTTAAGCTGGTATAAATTCAAATTAATGTGTTATAACCTTAGGATTTTAACTGTAATCCCCGTGGTAGCCACAAAGAAATTATCTATAAAATATACACAAAAGGAAATACAAAAGAAATGTTAATGTTTCACCGTTAGAGGATGGCCAGTTAGCTCAGTTGGTTACAGCATGGTGCTAATAACACCAAGGTCCAGGGTTTAATCCCCGTACTGGCCAGCCACTAAAAAGAAAAAGTTTCACTATTTAAAAAACAACAACAACAATAACAACTAGGCTGGCTCATAAGTTCACTTGGTTAGAGTATGGTGCTGAAAACACCAAGGTCAAGTGTGTGGATCCCCAAACCAGAGAGCTGCCAAAAAACAAAAACAAAAACAAAAAAAACCAACTAAACATAAAAGACATAATGAAGGAAAAGAGGGATAAAAAACTTTAAGATATATGGAAAACAAATAGCTAAATGACAGAAGTCGGGCCAGCCCGGTGGCGCACTGCTACAGTGTGCCGCTTGGGAGCATGGTGGCGCTCCCACCGAGGGTTCGGATCCCACATACAGACCGGTTCCCGCTCACTGGCTGAGCGAGGTGTGGGAGCAACACCGAGGGTTGCGATCCCGTTGCCGGTCCCGGTCCGGTACAGGCGCGACACTGAGGGTTGCGATCCGTTGCCGGACACGAAAAAAGACCAAAAGGAAAAATAAATAAATAAATAAAAATAAATGACAGAAGTCCCTCCTTGTCAGTAATTACTTTAAATATAAATGTATTAAACTTTTTTCCAATCAAAAGGCAGAGATAGGCTGATTAGATTTTTAAAAAGCATGATTCAACTATATGCTGTCTAAAAGACACTGACTTCAGATCCAAAGACAAGATAAATTGAAAGTGAACAGATGGAAAAAGATATCCCATGCAAACAGTAAACAAAAGAAAGCATGGATAGATAAACTAATATCAGACAAAATAGACTTTATATTTAAAAAGCTTACAAGAGACAAAGGACATTATATAATAATAAAAGGCTCCATACGGCAAGAAAATAACAATCACTCATATGAACATTTATGTTCCTAGTAACAGACGTTTAAAAAATATGAAGCAAAAACTGGCAAAATTAAAGGGAGAAATAAATAGTTCAATAATAACAGCTGCAGATTCAGTATCACTCTCAATAATGGAGAGAACAACCAGATAGAAGATAAGTAAGGAAATGAAGGATTTAAACTACACAATAAACCAACTAAATCTAACACACATAAACAGAACCCTCTACCCAACAACAGCACACACATTCTTCTCAAATGTACCTGGGATATGTTCCAAGAAGACCATATGTTAGGCCACAAATTAAGTCTCAATAGATTTTTTAAAATAGGATGAAGTTAGAAATCAGTAACAGAAAGAGAACTGGAATATTCACAAATTTGTGGAAATGAAACACACTGTTAAACAACCAATAGATCAAAAAAGAAATACGGGAAATTAGAAAGTACATAGAGATAAATGAAAACAAAAGCACAACATACCAAAAGTCATGGGACACAGCAAAATCAGTGCTAAGGGGACAATTTATAGCTATGATGTTTACATTAAAAAACAAGAAAGATTTCAAGTCAGCAACCTAACTTTACAACTTAAGAAACTAATAAAAGACGAACAAACTAAACCCAAAACTAGCAGAAGGAAGGAAGGAATAAAGATGAGAGCAGAGATAAACAAAATAAAGAATACTATAACAATAGAGAAAATCAATGAAACCAAAGGTTGTTTCTTTGAAAAGATCAACAAAATTGACAAACTTTTATCTAGATAGACAAATAAAAGAAAAAGGAAAGAGATTACTAAAATCAGAATTGAAAGTGAGGACATTACTACTGATTCCACAGAAATAAAAAGGATTATAATAGTATTATAAACAACTGTACAACAACAAATTGGAAAACCTGTATGAAATAAACTCCTAGTAACACAAAACCTAGCAAGGTTAAACCATGAAGAAATAAAAAATCTGAATGGACCTGTAACTAGCAAGGAGATTGAATCAGTAATCAACAATCTCCTGACAAAGAGAAGCCTGGAACCTGAGGGCTTCACTGGTGAATTCTCTCTTTTTTTTTTCCCCACAGCTGGCCAGTAAGGGGATCCAAACCCTTGACCTTGGTATTATTAGCACTACACTCTCCCAAGTAAACCACCAGCCAGTGCCTTCACTGGTGAATTCTATCAAACATTTAGAGAAGAACCAACACCACGATCTGAAAGGTGGTGCCCATGTGTTACAAAAATCAATGTAATATATCACATCAACAGAATGAAAGGGGGAAAAAAAACACATGACATCTCAGTTGATGTAGGAAAAGCATCTTCAACACCCTTTGATGATAAAAACATTCAAAAAACTAGGAATAGAGGGAAACTCTCTCAACATAATAAAGCCATATATTAAAAATCCCTAGGGAACATCACATACAGTGTGAAAGACTGAAAGCATTTCCTCTCAGATCAGGAATAAGGCAAGAATATGCCCACTTTTGCCACTTCTATTCGACACTGAACTGGAAGTTCTAACCACAGCAATTAGGAAAGAAAAAGACATCCAACTGGAAAGGAAAAAGTAAAATTATCTCTGTTCACAGATGATATAATCTTATACATAGGAAACACTAAAGACTCTACAAAAAGAAAAAAACTATTAGAACTAATAAGTGGCTACAAAGTCAACAAAAGTCAGCTGCATTTCTACACACCAACAATAAACAATCTGTAAAAGAAAACTTAAAAAACAATTCCATATATAATAGCATCAAAAAGAATAAAATACTTAGGAATTAACTGAACCAAACAGGTGAAAAGACCTGTAACCTGAAAATTTAAAAATATTGCTAAAAGAAATTAAAGAATACATAAATAAATGGAAACATATCCCATTTGTTGGGATATTGGACTGAAAAACTTAATATTGTTGAGATGTCAATATTACTCAAAATGGTTTACAGAATCAATGTAATTCCTGTCCAAATCCCAGTAACATTTTTTGCAGAAGTGGAAAAGCCCATCCTAAAATTCATATGAAATCTCAAAGGGACATGAATAGTCAAAACCATCTTGAACAAGAACAAAGATGGACGAATCACATTTCCTGATTTCAAACTTCATTACAAAGCTATAATAATCAAAACAGTGTGGTACTGACATACAGAGAGACATATAGACCAATGGAGTAGAACAGAGAGTCCAGAATAAACCCTCCCATACATGGTCAAATGATTTTTACAGGAGTGTCAAGACCATTCAATGGAGAAAAGGCAGTCTTTTCAACAAATGGTGCAGGGAAATTGGATATCCACACGTAAGAGAATGCACTTGGACCTTTACATAATACCAAATACAAAAATTAACTCAAAATGGATTAAAGACCTAAATGTAAGACCTAAAACTCCAAAACTGTTAGAAGAAAACATGGGGAAAGCTTCATAACATTGGATTTGGAAATGATTTTTTGGATATGACACCAAAGGCATAGGCAACAAAAGAAAAAATAGACAGATTGGACTTCATGAAAATTAAAAGTTTTTGTGCATCAAAAGACACTTATCAGAGTAAAAAGGCAACCCACAGAATGGGAGAAAATATTTGTAAATCATAGATCTGATACAGGTTTAACATCCAGAATATATAGAGAACTCCTAAAATTCAACAACAAAAAAACCAAACAACCAAATTCAAAAATGGGCGAAGGATCCGAATAGATGTTTCTCCAAAGATAGCAAATGGCTAACAAGCACATGAAAAGATACTCAACATCACTAATCATCAGGGAGATGTAAATCAAAACTACAATGAGATATCACCTCACACCTTATGGGATGGCTTCCATCAAAAAAACAGAAAATAAGAAGTATTGGTGAGAATGTGGAGAAATTGAAACCCTCGTATGCTGTTGGTGGGAATGTAAAATGGTACAGCCACTGTAGAAAGCAGTAAAGCAATTCATCAAAAAATTTTAAATTGCCATCTAATCTGGCAATTCCACTTCTGGTAATCAACTAACTGAAATAACTGAAGCAGGTCTTGAAGATGTTTGTACATACATGTTCATAGCAGCATTATTCACAATAGTTAAAAAGTAGAAGCTACACACGTGTCTATAAATAGATAAATGCATAAGTATATGGTATCCACATGCAATGGAATATTATTATTCATCCCAAAAAAGAAAGAAAATTATGTCACATGGATGAACAGTGAGGAACATCATGCTAAGTGAAATAAGCCAGTCACAAAAAGACAAATACTATATGATTCCACTTATCTAAGATATTTCGAGTAGTCAAAAATCATAAAGACAGAAAATAGAATGGTGATAGGCAGGTTGGGAGAATAGGAAAAGGGGGAGTCATTGTTTAATGGGTATATAGTTTCAGTTTTATCAAATGAAAAGACCTCTGGAGATAGATGGAGGTGATGTATGCACATTATGAATGTATTCAATACCACTAAACTGTACACTAAAAGTGATTAAGATGGTAAATTTTATGTTATTTGTATTTTTCCACAATAAAAAAATTGGAAAAAAATTAAATGCAATCCCAATACCAACAAACTTTTTTCTGGAGATAGACTTTGATATTCAAGTTCATATGGAAAAAAAGACATGCAAAAATAGCTAGGAAAACACTGAAAGAGAAAAACTGTAAGGGGAGAGTACTCAACTAGAAATTAAACATACTATAAAGCCTCTGTAATTAAAATATTATAATAGTGGTACATGAATAGACAACCAGACCATTGAAATAGAATTGAAAGTCTAGAAATATACCCAAATATATATGGAAGTTTAAAACGTGATAAAAGCATCATCATGAATCACTGTGGCAAAGACAGGCTTTTAATAAAGGTGTGGGACAATTGGTTATCCATTTAGAAAAAAATAAAATTAAATCTACACTTCACAGAATATAAAACACATTCCAAACAGATCACAGATCTAAATGTAAAAAATATGAAACCATACAAACCCGAAAATGAATTCCTCTTTAACCTCAGTGTAGGGAGAGACTACCTATGACTTAAAATCCAGAAGCAATAACAGATTAATAAATTTGATTATATAATAAAAATGTTTGCATGGCAATAAATACCATAAACAAAATCAAAAGACAGCTGATACACTGGGAGAAAATAATTGCAGCATATTCCTAATATACAAAAAACTCTTAAAATGCAAGGGGAAAAGACCAAAGAAACCAATAGATAACAGGGAAGGACATGAACAGATTATTCACACACAAAAAAGATATGAAAATGGCCCTTAAACATATGAAAAGTTGTTCAACCTCATTTATAATATGACAAATGCAAATTAAACTACATTGAAATGGAAAGCGGTACAATTCTCTTGGATTGGAATTTAGCAATATCAAACAAAACTGCATATGAATTTACCTTTTGGCCTGCCTATTTAATTCAGGAATTTACCCTGAAGATACACCTCTAACAATATGAAAATATATACATGTACAAGATTATTAATTGCAGCATTGGTTCTAACCACAAAATATTGGAAACTAAATACTCAAACACAGGAGAGTGAATAAACACTGGTATATACAAATAATAGAGTGGTATGCAGTTGTAAAAAAGAATGAGGATAATCTATATAAACTAACATGGAGCAATTTCCAGGATATACTGATATAAAAAAAGGGAAAATAAAATATGCATGCATCTGAAATTTGTGAAAACAAAACAAAAACAAAAATCCTAGGAAGGATAAACCAGAAACAAATGAGATTAATTACAGGGGGTAGGGTAAATGAGAAAAGATGAGGGAATGGGAACAGGATAGAATGAATGTGGAAAGTGGCAGTTTTTTTGAGTGTATTTATTTGTATAGTTCTGTTATTCAGAACCATGTTGATGTTTCACATAGTCAAGTATATAAATTCTGTTATTCAGAACCATGTTGATGTTTCACATAGTCAAGTATATATATTAATTAAATAAACAAGGATGAGGCGGGGACCCAAAATGAAATAAAATAGAAACAAATGAACCTGTTTTATAAGTGAATAACATAACCACAGTGAAAGAGGATTTGGTGAGAAAAACCCTAAGTAACTTTGGAAAACAGTATTTGACTATACACTCTAAGGCAAAAAGAACCGTACATAAATATTACACACTAGTTAATATGTTTGTTTTTCATAGAGTTGCGTGTGAGCCATTCCAAACTATTTCATGCATATTTTACATCTGAGGAAATAAGTAAATATATTATGGATAATGAGAGCCAGGTTTCTTACTGTCAAAGGAATTACAAATATGAAAAGAGAGAAGGCTAAAATGAACTACATGGACATATCAATGTAAACTCAAGATTATTAACATATATATATACACATAGAAAAATAAACAAACAGATATATATGTGTGTACTTGTGTATACACAAATGTATTCCTAGCTCAGTTCACAAGAGGGTCTAGAAGCAACAACCCCACAGTACCAATAAGCACACCTAGAGCTGAGATTTTGGTTTCAAAACACCATTCTCCAATAAAAGAGAACCAAAGTACATTAGAGAAATGGCTAATTCCAGGGCTAGGGCAGGGAAAATAAAAGAGAAGCCAAGAACATCCTGTGATGCCAGAAAATAAAAAGAGCCTCAAAAAAGACAGGATTATGTCAAAAGGACATAGGATTCAACTTGAAAGAGCTCCCAGTGGCCAAATCTGAGACACTTTGAGCAACAAAATAAATTATAATAAAATATTACCATAGAAGATGATAAGAATCTGTAAATATATACTGATATATATTTATATATCAGGGAAATCTTTTCCTTTCAGAAGAAATCCAATTAATAAATGTAGAAGGGATGATGGAAATGGAAAAATCACCATTTGGCAAATACTAGAGTAATATCTTTCTAGTGAGAATTATCAATGGATACTAAAATCAGTGGAATATATAATGACAAAGTATGATGAGAATATTTACAGTCTCAAAGTATTATATAAGATACATATCACAAAAGGAAAAAACAGTAATTTTATAGTGAAAAAATTTAGCAGACACCATCTTAATCAAGTGATCAAGGTTAACATCACCAGTTAAAGGAACAAATCATGAATCTTCTGATGTGATGCACTGAAGACTCAAGACCTTGGTGTTAGTTTTGCTAAAAATGCATAATCTGAATTTAATCATGAAGAATGTAAGGCAAACCCAAATTGAGGGATATTCTACAAAATAACTACCTAGCACTCTTCAAAAGTGCTAATATGTTCCAGATTAAAGGAAATTAAATCAAGGAATTAAATAAAAGGAAATTAATTCTGGATTGGATATATTGGACCAGAAAAAAGGACATGAAGGGGGATAATTGGTAAAATTTGAATAACATCCATAGGTTTGATAATAGCAATGTTTATTTGATTTCCTGATTATATCATTAATTTCTTAGTCTTGATTATTGTAAAATGGTTATATAAGATGTTAATATTTGGGAAATCAGGGTGAAAAGTATATGAGAATACTTTGTACTACTTTTACATAATTTTGTTAACTCTGAAATTATTTCAAAATGAAAAAAATTTTAAATATATATGCACACCTAATACTCTGAAGTTCCCTTCTGGCCGACTCTTCTGCCATCTGTGAAGCCCGCAATTTCTCTTCACACTGATCCTTTTCAGATTGCCTCCAGATATCATGTTCCACTTTCATTTTCTCTAAATCTGCTAATTTGTTCTCAAGTACTAGCCTAAAACAACACATAATAAGTATGTTAATAGAACTACAATAAAGATGATATGACAGCAAAATGTTTTCATTTGCAAGGAGATTTAACTCAAGCTAAGGTGATTAAGTGCTTACTTTTCATCTTGTAATACCACAAGTTTTTGATAACCTTCTTCCTTGGCAGCTTGTACTTTACGTATTAACTCACGATCCTTTTCTACTAAGAGCACTTTGTGGTGTTCAACAGCTGCTTTGAGAATTTCATTGTCCGACTGTAATCCTAGTATTTTTTTAAGGAGAAAAATGTACTATATTCAATGTCATTAAGATAAAAAAGCACAATTAACAGCCAGCATTCATAAGCTGGTAAGACAATTAAAAGAACATAAAAGCATCTCTGGATATGTATTCTCAAAGATCCTTACATCACTGATAAACTTTCTTCAAGAAAGAATGAAACAGACTAAAACTCAGAGTTAATTTTTCTGTCATTGCTTTATTTTAGCACATACACAAAAACTTTAATAAAAGGTTATATACAATTATTCATCTTGAGAGCGTGGGAGGTCAACCTGGATGATATCCAAAGTTTACTTACTTCACCCTCTAACGGGGTTCTGAGACCTAAGCCCCAAAGACAGCATCATAACAAAGCTGGCTGGTAGCAGAGTGAATAAAATCACAGAACCCTTCAAAACCTATGATTCTAGCAGAACTGCTCGATTTCTAGCAGAAATATAAATAACATGGAAACTTTCAAGTTTGTCCAATGAATTCATAAATCTTCCTTGTGATAAAATGGCAAGTATTTTGCAGATGGAATAAATAAAGTAAATTCATATCTAACTCAAAGTAAAACAGACTGCAGCACTAGATCCCAAACTCTTTAAGTTCCTAAGAAAATGTACTCCCTAATCTGTGGAAATCCATGAAGTAGTAATTAATAATGAAAACAATCATTCATCACAAGCTCTGTTTGAAACTACAGAGGCCAGTTCAACTTCAGCCCAACCCAAGGACAGTTACAGACCAAGGGCACCTTGTTTAAGTACTTAAGAAAGGTACAAACAATATAAATTCTGAGAAATCTTGATGAAATGGACATTCTAAGTCTAAACTGGGGCTTAAAAATAATGCTACATTGCATTAGGCTCCAATAACTGGCCTGGGCCTACAATGAAAAAAAAGAAAAACCCTAAAACCCACCTATCTTCTTTACATTCTTTGGACTTAAAATGTCCTAGGACTAATAACTACTTGATCTAAATAGACTTAAAATTATAATCCCAGTATGGAATAAACCCAGTATAGAATCCCATTTTCCAAGTTTTACTTAATTTATGCATTTAAAAAAAACTATGACATAAACATAAACTTGATTTAAAAAAACAAAAAGATCACAGAATGAACAAAACACTCAACATATAAACAAAAACATATGTACTCTAAAATTAAAATTCAATGTAAGATGAAAATCTGAAAATAAAAATTCAGGTTAATCTATTTTAATAATTCCAGTTTACACCTGAAAATAATTGTAAAAAGCATGGGAAATTATATATTACCATCGAGTTCACTCTGAATCTTATTCCTTTCTCTTTCTAGCTCACTCTTAGCTCTTGCTGTCTCCAGTTTGATGTCTGTTATTTCTAGTTTGTTCGAATGTTTAAGTTCGTTTACCTGTTGATAATAAGAAATTGAAATTACTATTGGTCATTTTCTTGCCACTTAGTACTTACCCAAAAACATAAGTGGAAATAAGAAAATGCTTTGATAGCAGAGTATAGAGTGTAAGTATTTTCCAGGAAGGAAGGTGCTTCAGTGCCTGGAACAGTACTTGGCACAAGGAGACACCAAGGAAACATTGTCTTTTCCAAATGGAACTAAGGCTTTTCTTTACAAGTATCTGGGTGGGGTCTTCTGCCTTAATCTTGCCTTAGAAGATTAAACTGCAAGTCCCTAAAATCCAATAGCCAATGATTAAAAAGTCTTCAGGAAAAAAATTAAATCTTCCTCTTAAAAAAGTGTTGGGGACAAAGAAGTCTTTCTGGGGAGAAGGAATAGCATATAAAATGGTTTATAGTTGTAACATCACATGATCTGCTCTTAAAAGAAAGAGCTATGTATTACAGGTAGACCAGAGGGAGGTATGAAATCTATGGAGAAGTAGCAGGGAATAAACTTCATATGCCGTACAAAGGATTGTTTATCCTATTAGCTACTGAGGTGGCACAATTAACTTTGTTTCAGAAAGTTAACTCTAATGACAAATGTGTTGGATTAAGAAACTGAAAGTAAAAACAAAAATTAAGAGGCAAGGAATAAAGGGTGCAAGAAGGAAGAATCAATTGAATCTGGTGACTAATAATAAATGTGTATATATACAGTGTGTGTACATACATGTGATGTGGGGAAAGTATAGAGGAACAAGTATAAATTGTATAAATCTAATTTAATCCTTTATTGCCAACACCTGATTCTTTTAAAGCCCCAAGTACATGTGAATAAGTGTCAATACTTTTCAAATAATTAACCCACCACATACCACTTTTCAACTTTGCTGAGATATCCCTTTTGAAAGCTGGATAATTCTAGTTCATAAGTAGCATTCCTTCATTCATCCAACAAACATTTTTTTTAACACCTATTATATGCTGGGCACTGTTTGTCTCTCTGATCATCTGCACTACTCTCTAACATTTTCTATAATCCTTCCCTTTGGTAAGGTGCTTCTAAAATTAGGTACAGTAGTATAATAAAGATTTAATCAATACAGATATAAAGGTTAGATAAACCTGTATTCTGACATATTATACTAATGTATAAAACTACAAAATCAGAGTAGTAAACTACAAATATATACAAGTTAAGTACATAAAAAGTGAGATGGTGGGAATAGGAGGGTAAAAGATAATTTAAAATAAAACCCTACAAAAATTGGAGTTGGGATTTAGACACAAATCACGAAGAAGTCCTAGAGTCAAAAAGAGCAAGGACGAGAAACAGAAATGTCTTACTGGAAGACTCCATCTAGGAAAGGTCCTGAAAATGTTGCAAGAAATGGATTCATGCAAAATTCTCTTAAAAGAAACAAACAGAAAAGCGAGTATTGTACTGCCTTTGTACTGCTAACTACAATAAGACATTCCTGCAAATTAACTTGAAGACTTTTAAAAAACACTACATAAAATGGCTGATTTGTGTTGACATCAATTTTGCATTTTTATACCTCATTTCTGAAGTTCTTTTTTATAAAAGTAAGTCTCATAAAATGTTTGACTGCATAAAAGCATTTAAGAAATATTTATTTTAATACTTAAACTTTCTGTAGATTGGATTTTACTACATTGTAATTTCATGGACAGACAGGATTTGAATTATAAATGCTTTAAAAATTTTAAGAATACAACTACAATGAAAACCCAAACACTATGACAAATGTAATTATAACCTGCTATTATATACTAATTTTAAAAGGTTAGGAATGACACAGCAGTTCATTAACAAACTACACTGTAGTTGCTTTAAATGAGGTGGAAAATTAGAGCATCTTACTTGTCCTGTCTGCATTCAAATTTACTCATTTATGAATCTTAAGTTTTTCTTTAGTGCCATTATTTCTATAATTCTAAAATAATAAATACATTATATTAATTGTAATTGTTTTCCTAAAAATATACTAAAAGGAATTATGTTCTTTATTAAAAATAAAAGACAAATATCAAAATTTATTACCCAGTTATGACAATTAGTAGCACTTTTCTATGAGTAATCTGAACCAAATCCCAAATAGCCATAACAAAGTTTCTTTCTGCTTCTGGATCCTTCGTTCTTAATCATCTTTGCAATCAGACCCCAAAACCCTAGGAAAACTAGGAACATTCTCCTAAATAAAATGTACAATTTTAAAATGTTACATAAAATTTCAAGAGATTCATGGTCTTCTGAAGCTCCTCTGCACCAAGCCAACCCTGTTTTTCACAAAATGTGTTCCATTTAGATTCTGGCCTTTACATTGTAAATTTGCTTTATGCTTTTGACACAACAGAAGAAACAACTCAGAGATGACTACTAACAAAACTTTAATAAGTGTCAAAAACAGCAATATGAGGCATTTTACAGGGGTTCACAATCTGTTAAAGTACACATACCCATGAAATTATAATGTAAAGACACACAAGAAAGAATATATATAGGCAAGAAACAGAAATGTAGTTGAAAAAAATTATATTACCTAAAAAGTTCTGGATGCAGATTTCAAAGAGATGGTACTCAAATTCTGACCTTTTTCAAACTTCTGAGATGATATGACCTCATTAATTTAGCTAATAAGGATAACTCTGCTGGATGGCTTCCCCAAAACTAACTTTTATTGGAGTTCTAAAGATCAAAAACCTCATGAGGTTAAAAACAATTAAATTGGATAATGTTGAACTTTAAAATAAAGCATTCATTAAAAAAAAAAGAAAAGGAAGAAAATGACTTGGAGATGTTGAGATCAGAGAGATGGACACTGCGTTTTGGAAGACTGCATTCCTGATAGTTTGAAGATGAGGGAAAAATAATGTTGAGAAACTCTGATCTTGGTTGCACGGAGGTAGGATTCATCATGGTGGCAACCACTTAGGCATACCTTTCATATCATCTTTTACAATCTTGCTGTTTTGCTTATAAAACAAGAAATGCCATAATCGTACAAATGATGTTATACTTGGGAAATAAATGGATGTGTTAGCTATAAAAATAAATAAGTAAATAAAATGTTCTGCAGGTTTAAAAAAATCTTATGAAGTAAAGAGAATAATTTACCTCACTGAATGTGAAATATCTTTTTCAGCACCGCACTCTACCGAGTGAGCCACGGGCCGGCCCCGAGAAATATCTTTAAAGTCATTATTTCAGACCATCTTTGGTAATACACTTTAATCTAAGACATTGACAGTCATACTGCCATAACTTTGTTCTAAAACCTAACATTTACAAATTTGAATAACTTAGATACCCCAGGTGTTCCTTTGCATTGCAAACAACCATTTGCTAGGATTGCAAAATGTTGATTGAAAATTTCAAGCTGCAAAAGAAAACTGTGATGGTATATTTATTTAATTTAAAATTTATCCTTCCAATGGAATCTTTTTACATACAAGATTTCCAATAAAACTTGGTTTGTCTAAAGTTGAAGAACAGTTTTTATTAATCCATTTATATGTAAAATAATGCAAGTATGCCTTTAAAAAAACAGGCAACTCTCAGCAACGAGTGTTAATAAACAAGCACAGAGAAATAAATAATACTATACAAAATTATTCTTCTTTCAGCAGAGTAGGAAAAATAATCTGTGCTCTAACTCTGAAAGGAAAGAGCAATATAGAAGGACAGAAAAAAGAAGAGAAATCAGGGTCAGCACGCAGGTGAGCTAGGGTGCTCAAGTAAAATGTGATGTAGGAAAAGTACTTGGTGACCTCCAAGAGAGGTAGAAATTCCAGCAGAAGCCAAGTATATTCAGTGTCCTACACAGATGTTGCTTTATCTATGGTTCCACTTACTCCAGCAATCCAGTCCAGTTCCTCAGGTCCAGAACAATGTGTTGCAAACACTGGGTACTCAATATTATTCTACAAAATTTAAAATAATTTATACTGCAACTGGAAGAAAATCATGAGAGAACTCCCTGTACTCTGAATTGACTTCTTTGTGTTTTATATCTATTTTTTTGTATACTCTGTAATTGTAGGCATTCAATATGTATCTGTTGAATGTATAAACAATCTATTTATAGTTAATCAAGAAGCAATCAAATTATTAATTTATTTTCAGGTAGGACTTACACAATCTTAGCGGGCTGGAAGGGCTCTTAGGGATCAGCTAGAACAATGCCTCATTTTACCTATTTGGAAATAGGATCCCAATGATATTAAGTATCTTACCTAAGGTCACACACACAATCATTGATACAGTGAGGAACAGAACTCCTCAATGGCTCAAAATTCTGTATTCTTTATGTTACATTATTCTCTTATTTAAGGATATTACTAGTGTATAATTATTGCCATTACCATTTCACCAACTACTATTTATTGTGTTGAATACTATCTTTAATCTTCACAAAAATTCTGTAAGAGGTATTATCCCCATTCAAAAATTAAGCAAAGCAGAAGTCACACAGGTGGTGAGTAAGGTGAATGAGTCAGTATTCAGATAAATTCATTTGATTTAAAGCCCATGAACTTTTCCAATGTACTTCATTACCTGCTCCAAAATGCTAGTTATTGATTTCTAAATATATCTCAATTTCAGCCTATAAGCTAGAAAACTATACTTGAAATTAAGTTATTTTAATAATTAAAAATCTTGGGCCTGCCCGGTGGTGCACTGCTACAGTGCGCCGCTTGGGAGCGCGGCGGCGCTCCCACCGAGGGTTCGGATCCCACATACAGACCAGTTCCCGCTCACTGGCTGAGCGAGGTGCGGGCGCAACACCGAGGGTTGCGATCCCATTGCCGGTCCCGGTCCGGTACGGGCGCGACACTGAGGGTTGCGATCCGTTGCCGGACACGAAAAAAAAAAAAAATTAAAAATCTTATTTGCTTAATTTTCACTTATTCTTTTTAAGGTCAGCCATGTCTATTGAATGAAATGAGATACTGGCTACAAAACCACTTTGTAAACTGTAAAGTATAGAAATCCAAACAAAAATTTAAAAAGCCACTAGACACATAACCTGCAAATGTAGAAGAGTATGTGTGTGCCATAGAAAAAACTGATTAGACTATCTCCCAAGAGTGGAATCCAAAACATCTAAAATTATTTAGGCTTTTCAAACCAATTTTGTTACCACACTTAAAGAAGACTCCCTAGGTTAGACTCACATTTTTAAAAGATTATAAAGAGTTATCTATAAAATCAGAATGTTAGTTTATTAATTATGAGGAAAAAAAACTATAACGTAATCAGAATACTCTAAATCTGAAGGTTTAGTGCATTCTCTCCCTGTAGAGAAAATTACATGGAAGTCAAATAACAGTTAGAAGGTTGCTTGGTGATCATGGAATCAGAACGAACAGATTGAGATGAATGAATGGTTTCATAGCTATGGATTAAAACAGATTGGTTTATTCATCTCCAGAATAAGAATGATCTTTTCAGTGGGACCAGAACACTTAAATTCTACTGACTAAAACTCTTTCTCTCCTCTGTCATAAACACTGCCTCTATTCTCAAGCAATTCCTTGGCCAAGGAATTTACTATGAACACATTATTCTTTTAGATAAATTCATATACTTCTACCAGGCTATAGTAAATGACCTCTGGTATGGGAGCCACCTTGTTTTTAAGGTGATTTTATATAACTCTGCCCTAATAAAAAATGCAATGATTTCATTGACTCAGAAACCAGTCTTGTTTCCGAGTTCTTAGAGAGCCCCAAGCCATAACAATAATAATAATAGCTAATATTTGAGTGATTACCTGTTAGACCTTAGTTAAGTGCTTTGTGCAGAATATCTCATTTTGTCACAAGTCTATAAGGCAGGTATGAGTCCCATTTTTATAGAGAAAGACACTAAAGGTTCAGAGAGAAAGTAAATTTTTCAAGGCCACACAGCTAGTACAGGGCAGAATGAGAATATGAACCCAGTCTGACTCCAGAGCTGATATTCTATAAAATATTTTTATTATTGCTATCTTACTTCTGGTTACTAGATTTCATATATATACTGTATTTCAGGGGTGGGAAAAAAAACCTTTAAGTTTCTGAGAAAAACTTTGTATGTAAAAGATGTTTTGGGAATATTCAAATTATTACATTTTTAAAAGATAAAATAAATGCAGATCATGTTGCTAATATTAATTTATTCATTGAAGAAATATTTATTAAGTACCTACTATGTGTCAACACTGTTCTAGGAGCTGAAGAAACGGTAGTGATGAAAACAATGTTCCTGTTCACTTAGAGCTTACAGTTGGTTGAGAGGAAGGTGGTAGGAAAAAAAGGTGAGACAAAAAATAAACAAATAAATATAAATATATCAGATGGTATCAAGAGCTATGAAGAAAAATAAAGCAAGTAAGGAAGATAGAGACTAAAACAGAGGAAGATGCTATTTTGCAGTAAAGACAAGGACAGTCTCTCTGATTAGGTGACATCTGAAGAGGGTGAGGAAGCAAGCTATGTAGATATGTGAGGGAAGACTGTGCCAGGTACACAAGCACAGAGGCTCTGAGCTTGCTCAGACAAGAATGAGAAGGTCAGTGAGCAAAGTGAACAGCAAGAAAAATGGATGGCAATGGCTATGGAAAGATTGCAGGAGCCAGGTATACAGAGCTCTGAATGGATAGAGAATAGAAAGACAAGTTAGGAAGCTTTCATAAAAACTGAGCCTACAGAGATCATGGCTTGGACTAGAGTGGTCACAGTGGAGGTGGTAAGAACTGGTCAGATTCTACATGTATTAGGAACGCAGAAAAGTAGGATTAAAAAAGATTTCAATATGGAGAACTTAACTATTTAAACAAAATTTCTTTGTCATTGTACAGAATCAAGCATTCTAAAGAATAAAGTAGAAGTATTAAGATGACTAACCAGTAAGTCAATGCATTTATTTCTTGGAAGGTAGATGATAGGATAAAATAAGATTTCAACATAGAGAACTAAACCATTAAGAACAAAATTTATTTCTCATTATATAGTATCAACCATTCTAAAGAATGAAGTGAAAGGGTAACTTACTTTACCAGTCAGTGTATTTATTTCTCGTTCAGCTTTATGCAATTTACTGATTAAAGAAGTATTTTGTTCACTGCTTGATTGTAGTTCTTTTTCCAAGCGTTCAGCCTGTAGTTTAGCTGACTGTCTTTCAGCCTTTCATCAAAATAAAATATTTTTTAATTCAATCATAATTTTTCACAATTATATAAAAATAAAATAAGCACTATTTAAAATGTGTATAATCATCCAAAAAAATATTCAAAATTTCAACAACATTAATATGTACCAAAGTAACAAGAGTTTTCTCAAAGTAATTGGTAGAATTCAAATGAAAGCTATCTGCTCCAGGAAATATGCAACGAGGTATCTGAACAAACAACATTATCAACAGCCACCAACAAAATAAAGCTCATACACCTACCTCTCTCATGAAAGAAAGTAACTAAGGTACTCATTTGATACCTACTTATTTTTAATGCTGACATAATTCAAACATTTTAGGGGATTTCCAGTCCACAGAAGATATGAAAAAGCATATTAGAAGGTAAAAGAGAGGGCTCATTGACAGTAATACAAAGTGAAAATTAAAAATCTAAAATCAAGAGACTTTTTTTAAAAGGGAGAGGGGGAGATAAGATCAAGATCCAAAGCTGATCTGAAGCTTTCTGAAGTATGGGCAAAGAAGCTCTTCACCTCACCACATAATTAAGATTCCTAAAAAAGTCTGTAAGTTGTCAAAAAAAAAAAAAAAAATTCTGGTTAGTAATACTCATTGTACTCTGTACTTAGGGAAAGAAAATCAAAAGCTTTTTAAAAATATTTCTACTCAAAATAATTTAAATGAAAATATTTTGGCATTTAAAAGATAAGTTTCAATTTTTATAACATCTCATTTCCTATATATCTTAAACACGATAAGGAGTATATTCAACAAATAATCTGGGAAAAAAATATTTTCTTCAAATATAAAAAAATGGTACCCTCTGGGAACAATGATAGCCAAGAAAGTTGAAGAAAGAAACGCTTGCTGTCATGTGCTTATTTTCATTACATCTGACAAATGATAAAATTAAATATAGGCTCTTCTGAAAATGTCACAAATGAATCATCCATCTTTTGTCATCATTCAACTTGCCCTAAAAATAATCACTCTAAACGACCTCAATGAAAAGTTTCACACTGGCATCATATACTATTTTCAACTGCAAGCATCCTGCTTATTCTGTCACTGTGTAAACACATTAAGGATGTAAAGATGGCAATACAAACACTCTCACTCTGAACTGTCTTATGTCTAAGGTCCAATGATACTGACAACTTTAATTCAGAAACCAGCAAAATACCGATGGAAGCTTCATCCAGAAAATTAAAGGTGACTTCTACTCTTTAAAAGATGTCAATATACTCCTGTACCAGACTGCTGGCTGGGGGAAAAAACAAACAAAAAAAGCACTATTTTGGATTTGGTTATTGGAATTTAACTACAAACTAGATGCTCACCAATTTTCCTCCAATCCACTGAACTGCACAAAATAAATTAAAACAATTAAACTGATATATTTGCTACAAGTTAGACATGAAGAACTAGGAGGAATAAGCATACCTGAATAAAATGGAAACCAGGAATTTTTATAAAGCAATACCTCTAGGAGTACCAGCCTGACTCTGCCAATACTTACCTTTCTATAATGAACTCAGAGAAATAATTCAGTAAAGGGCTGTATGCATTAGTAGCCAATTTGAATTTTATTATTCTGGCAAGAAGCTGTCATAAGGTATATGCTATTTTTGTTCAAACAGGACTTACAATTTTAAGATCTCAAATCTCAGTGTAAGAAATTTACTATCTCAGAAGAAATTATTTTTTCTGGTTTCAGATGACTTTAGTCTTCAGAAACTCAAATAATTCTTTTTGGATTTTGCATATCCTATATTTTGGCATTATAAGAGTTAAGTCATTTCAGGTAGGTGACTTGACTCCTGAAGAATACATATCCCCTGTAAATGTGGTAGCACAGCTATTGCTTATGAATCAATAGCTTTCTTCTTTACAAAAAGAATACAAACTCTTGGGATTCCACAAATGTATCAGCATTAGATTGGTGAGCATACATTTATGCTCTAAAAATCAAAGGCCTGTCAATTACACTTTTAAAAAGTTTGCCACACTCTACCACAAAGCAATTAAAACCTTACCTCCAGGGATCTGACTGTAGCCTGCATCTCAGCCAACTGCCGTACCTGTATTCTTTGGACATTTTCTACCTGAGCACCAGAATTCTCTTTTTCAGCTCTTAATTCTGCTACCTCAGCCTCTAAGCCTTTTAGTTTCTGACACAAATGGGTTTTTTCTCGGGAAAGTTGCTCCATTCGTTTGCTGTCTCTTGTGGGATCAACACTAAATAGCTTGTTATGTAGTTCTTCTTTATCTTTCTCCAGTCTTGCAATCTAATAATAATTCAAAAGAAAGCATACGAGCTTAAATTACTGATTTTTCAGTCATGAACATGTTTTACAAGTCAGTAAATTAAAATTAAAAACTGCACAATATGAAAGCTCGGGTGGTGAAATGAAGTACAAAGGAAACATTCTAAAATGTCACGTTCTTCATTCTTTACTCAGCGTGACTCAAATGTGAGGCTATGGACTTTGTCCTATTTTCCCCTATTTCCTCATGGTGTTTAGCACAAGGCTTAATCAGATGCTGACTAAAATTCAAAATTATAATACAATAAAATTATTAAAAACATGCCAAGTGTTTAAAAATTCATCAAAACAAGACCAACAAGCTAACTATTGCTAAGCTCTTCCTCATGTAACAGTAATTCTTGGGCTATGTCTATATTAATAAAATTATCTATTTCAAAGCAACTTTAATTCACATAAAGCTGCTTATCTGTGTAAATACAAATTGTGATTGATGAGAATTTTTAAATGATAGCTGAGAGTTTACTAAAGTCCTAGTTGGAATGATGGCCTAATTCTTAGTTCTTAGACTCAAGAAAACTGAAAATCATTATTACTCCAGGGCACGTGTTAAAGTCACTGGGGACTTTGTAGAGTAGAAACACCACAGGTCTTATCATTCCTGCCATCTATCACTGTCGTACACCATGGGCCTCCAAATCAGTGAGTTTCAAACTGCTTCCTAACCTTTGAGGCACCTCAGAGGCTTCTCACCTCTGAAAATTAGGGGGTCAATCAATCAGGGTAAAACGTACGCTTTTCCTTTCTGGATCTCCCCAACTATCTGTCCCCTGCCACCACCACCACCATCACCACCAAATCTCTATTGTTAACCATCACAGCTCCTCTTTTTTAGTCTCTTTTTATATGTTGGGTTTCTCCATATGATTCAACTTAAGAATCCAGCTGTTTTAAAAAAAAAATGTTTTTTTAATGATGAAAACCATTGCTTTTAGCAAAATCAAGGTCTGTCTGTAGCCAAGATGAACTTCAGAGATTCACTCTAAGCCAAAAGAACCCTAAAGGAAAACTCTGCAACCTTGGGAAAGTGGCCCAAGAAACAACCATTTGCTCAAAGAGCTATCAATGAATATGAGAAGTGTGAGCCCTCCACCTCAGGGAAGAATCTGTTTTCCTCATCTGTAAAATGGGAGATTGAACTGGAGGCACTCAAAGATACTTTTCAGTTTTAACATGTAATGGTTCCAATTTGGTTTTGGACACGCTGAACTAAAGATGTCAATGTGAAATGTAGGTAGAGCTATCCAGCAGTCAAATATTTTCTTCCAGAAAATAAAATTTACCCTTGAAGGTAGCTGAAGCATTCAGAGTTGAGCCCTCAAAAGCCCAACTAATTAGTGTCTCTATTTTCCTCCCACACTTTACATACAACTGTTACCTTTGGATTTGGTCTCTACCTTTTTTTCCTCTAGCTAACTGTGTCACACTTATGCAAATCACATTTTCACTCTGGCCTCAGTTTAAATAAAGGGCTTAGGCTGGATGATCTTTAAGATGCCACTTAGCTTTTATATGAGGTATCTCAAATACGACTTTAATGTGTCGTATTAGAGGTGTGGTGGCTCTATAGATCAGGAGTCAATGTGTAACTCGGGTTCAGAGAGTGGTGTCCTTCATTGACTACTTACTATGGATCAAGTGTTGAACCAAGTGCGCTACATGTGAAATTAATAGTATCAATAATTTCTCTGGTAGTCCCCATTTTACATATGACATCACACACCTAATGTTTTTGACCAGCATGTTTCCTATATTATTGCTTTCTCTGCTAGTTTTGAGAGGCATCTATATGATAGCTGAAATGATAGCTGAAGCTGTGGGACTGGACAACAGCTAGCTAATGGCGAAGTCAGGATTAGATTCCACATTTACAACTCCTAAACCAGACCTCGCTATCAAATCTTTCCTACCAAAACTGGTGATCACTGCCTGCTAATTTCTCTTTCACTTATTCATTTATGCAACAAATATTTATCGAGTACTTACTATGTACCCGGCACTATTTTAGGTGGTAAGGAAACAACTCAGCAGACAAACACACACAAAACCTCTGCTATTGAAAAGCTTATTATATTCAATCACTGCCAAAACACCATTATCATCCCAGACATCTGGGCACAGATCTTGGACAGTCTCAGCTCTCTCCTTTTCTTCCATTCTCAATGAGACTCATCTGTCATCTTCCTTATTGGTCTCAAATTTGTGGTGCTCTCATTCTAAATTTCCAAAGGTCTTTGTTTGAATTTTTCTTTTATGACATTTACCCAAAACTGTATTGCAGTTACTTCTACATTTACTTTATTCTCTTCTAGAATACGAACTTGCTTGACAGGTAAGACAATTTATTAACCAATTTTACTTTTTAAAAAGTTGAAGGAAATGGAACAGAAATAGATCAGGGACTAAAAATGGTGGTGATTTCCTTTTCAGAGAATGATACCATCACTCCAATTCCCCAAGGCATGCAAGAGGGAAAGGTAGTGTACCTAATTTCTCCATCCATCTTTGTTTTTATTACCTTTATGACGAAGCACAGAGAAATGGACAAGAAAACAGGCTCAGGAATCAAAACACTTAGGTTTATTTTTTCTTTCAGTATTTCAAATGTACTGGTCTATTGTCTTCTGGCTTGTATTATTTCCAAAAAGAAGTCTATTGTCATTCTTATCTTTGCTCTCCTGTACAAAATGTCTTTTTTTCCCTAGTTATTTTTTTAATTAAACTTTCTATTTACAGATAACGGTAGGGTCAAACACGAGGAATTATTGTAAGGAATAACACAGAGATCCTGTGTACCCTTGACCCAGTTTCCCCCAATGGTAACATCCTTCTTCTATTTTCTGGAAGACATTATGTAGAATTGGTCTTAATTGGTTTTTATTTTTATTATTATTATTTCTTTTGCTATCTTATATTTACATATATATATTTTTTAATTTTATTAATATTATTTTTTACATTCTAGGATGTTGTTGCGGAGCAGTTGGGAAGGAGGGGGAGAGGAGAAAGGGGAAGGAAATGAGATGTGAGAGGAAGGGTGGGACTGAGGCCTGTGGCACCCCCCACATTCCCACAGGGGAGACCGGTGGACTTTCATCTGTGGCTTGGTCACTGCCGGGCTGGGTGCAGATGTCAGGGGGGTGTGGGAAAAGCCCTCAACCCCACCATCCCAGCTCGAGAACCCAGGGCCCTTCTTGCTATGGCTTGGCAGTCTTCACTGCACTGGTTGCACATGTCAGGGGGGCATGGCCGAGGTCCTTGGCCCCCCCACTGCCCTGGCTTGGGAGTGCCTGGGGCCCTTCTTGCTGCAGCTTGGTGATCATTGCTGGGCTGGTTGCACATGTCAGTGGGGCATGGCCAAGGCCCAAGGCCCCCCACCACCCCAGCTCGGGAGGGCCTGAGGCACTTCCTGTGTCAGCTCAGTGGTCACCACTGGGCTGGCTGTGGGTGTTGAGGGGGCACGGCCAAGGCCCAAGGGCCCCCACCGCCCTGGCTTGGGAGAGCCTGGGTCACTTCCTGAGGCAGCTCAGTGGTCAATTGATTTTTAAGTAGTTGATAGATTTCTCCAGTGAAACCATTCTTTGGGGGAGTTTTTAAACTGTGAATTCAATTACGCCAATGGTTATAGGCCTATTCAAATTACTTACTTTATATTGGGTGAGTTATGATCATTTGTGCCTTTTGAGAAATTGATTCATTTCATCTACATTGTCAAATTTATTTGGGTAGAGTTGTTCATAGGATTTTCTTATTACCCTTTTAATGTCTGCAAGGCTCCCATGAGCAATATTCCATGCTTCATTCCTGAAACAGGTCATTTTTATCTTCTCTTTTTTATCAGTCTTGCTAGAGGCTTGTAAATTTTACTATAATCTTTTCAAAGAACCAGCTCTTTGTTTTGTTGATTTTCTCTATCAGTTTTCTGTTTTCAATTTTATTAATTTCTACTCTTTACTATTCCCTTCCTTCTGCTTGCTTTAGTTTTATTTTGATAATCTTTTTCTAGGTACTTCAGGTGGGAACTTAGGTTATTGATTTGATATGTTTCCTCTATTCTAATGCACGCATTTAGTACTATAAATTTTCCTTGCAGCACAGCTTTAGCTATATCCTAAAAATTTTGATATGTTGTACTTTCATTTTCATTCAATCTATTTTTTAAAATGTAATCTCATTGACATGTTTTTCATTCAAGTTTCCTTTGACTCATAAATTTTTTGAAGTGTGTAATTTTGTTTCCAGGTGTTTGAAGATTTCCCTGTTGCTTTTCAGTTATTAATTTCTAGTTAGATTCTATTGTGATCAGAGAACTCACTGCGTGATTTCAAGTTTTATAAGTTTACCGATTTTTATTTTATAGCCCAGGATATAGTCTATCTTGTATATATTCAGTGTGCAATTCAAATGAATTTCTGTGGGTGATCTTGTTAAGTGAAGTGTTCTATAAATGTTAATTAGATCCTGTTGGTTGATAGTGTTGAATCCTTCTATACCCTTGCTGATTTTCTAATTGTTCTATCAATCGTTGAGAGAGAGGTGTGAAGTTGCAAACTATAACTGTGAATTTGTCTGTTTCTCTTTTTAGTTCTATCAGTTTTTGCTTAACATTACTTTGCAGCTCTGGCACTTATATTTAACATTCCTATGTTTTCTTGGTGGACTTTTATCATTATATAATCTCTCTTTCTACACACACACACACGCTATTTTTCTTTGCTCTGAAGGCTACTCTATTTTTAATACAGCCACTCCTGCTTTCTTTTAATTAACGATTCTATGATATATCATTTCCCATCTCTTACTTACAAACTATCTATATTGGTACCTTTGGAGTTTCTCATAGACATCATATAGTTGGGCCATTTTTTTTAATTGAAGCATAACTGACTATACATATTTTAGAGGTACAGCCTTGACTACCATCACCTGTATACATGTGATGATCAAATACTATTAGCATA